GGTACCCACTGAATATAAAACCCGACATGACAGAGTGGGCCAATATCTGCACTGGAAAATCTGCAACTTCTACGGGAAGAAAACTGAAAGAAACTGGTATGAACACCACCCAGACCCGGTTACGGAGATAGGACCTGTTACAATTCTATGGGACTACACAATACACACTGACAGAACAATCAAGGCCAACCGCCCAGATATTGTTATTAAAGACCATAAACAAAAACGGTGCCTCCTTATTGATATGGCAGTCCCTGCCGACTGCAATGTATCTTTGAAGATATTCAAAAAAGTTGTCAAAGTACAAGGACCTTGAAATAGAAATCGCGAAAATGTGGCATATGGGGACATCAACAATCCCTGTTGTAGTTGGAGCCCTAGGACTGGTTGGAAAAGATTCCAGTAGACTAATTGAAGGGATACCTGGAAGTCCATGCCTCAAGGAGATACAGAAAATTGTTCTGACAAGTACAGCCCACACCTTACGAAGGGCTTTATCTATGTAATCTTTTTTTTTTTTTTTTTTTTTTTTGTCAGTGGAAAGTGTCATGACGCCATTTCTAACCTTAGGTCCCTGGGCGGGACCCGGAAAGAAATGTGTAAACGCCAGAAATCAAAGAAAATAAAAAAAAAAAATAATAATAATAATAATAATAATAATGCTTAGTTTTCAAAGAAAAATTACCTCCTTTTGAAGTTTTGAAAAATTCAACGGTTTTATTTTAATCTAACTGATAAATATAAGCTATAAAAGTTATATAAATTGTAAACAATTCCAATTGGTGAATTAATTTTAATTTCCGCATTGACACTATTTACATGCGGATTATTGTTCCCATCTTTATTGTTGTCATCACAACGTTTCAACCGTTAATCTAAGTTAGGTTCAACGCTCCAAGTTCTCCATACAGAATTGTTCCACGGGAATAAGTGGAAACGGGGTGAGCTACTTGTCTACACTAATCAGTATTAAAATAAGAACTAGACAATATATCCCTAGACATTGGCAGTGGAACGATAATAATTTAACCTTTAAAAGGTTCAGTTCGAAATTCCCTGTAGTCTACCCGACATACACTCACAGGCTTGAGAGCACAAGTGACAAAATGTTGTGACAACATCAATAAAGATGAGAACAATAGTCTACATGTAAATAGTATAAATAATAGATTAATTTTAATTTCTAAATATTATAAAGTATTTTGTGTTCGTTTATATTTATTTTTTCTAAAGGACAAAATATAAATATAAATTGTAAATAGTATATACGTCAAAAACTGTTTAAATTATTTTAACGCATTGCGAACAATTTTAACAAATTTGACTGTTTGATATAATATATAGGATAAATTATATACTAAATTGTATTTCTATATAACTGCAGTTTTACTAACAAATCGCCTCTTGACAGAAAAGATAAAAAGGAAACATTACAATCATTAATAGACCAAAGGAAAATGTCGTTTCATGTCGGCCAAGGTTGAGTGTGAAAACTGTTGAAAACTGAAAATAAAATAATACCACCCTGAATATGTATTTCAATTGACTCAAGATTCAATGTACAAATAAAGCTAGATTACAGTAAATCATCACATGTGCAGATCATTGCATGCACAGTTTCCAAAATAAGGGTTGTATCAACATTACTCCATATTAATAACTCCTGCACTTGTTGACATAATACAGCAAGAGTTGTAGGTGGTTAACTGAAGGAATCCGGTGTCGTCCCATCATATCCAATACGTATTCAATGTGAGAATTTTGGCCTATATGCCATAGTAAAATACACTTTGGAAGATGTTACTCCCCAGGCGAACATCGCGCATGAAGGCAGAACCAATTATCATCATTGAACACTAGATAGTGTTATTTTACTCCTCACACAGACACACCATTTATTTCCATCGGGAATGCGATGGAAATGTGAACAACGGTGTTTAGCGTAAGTTGAAGTCTAACTATTTGCACACATGGTCGTAATCCTGCTGCAAATAAACGGTCCGTTTTGGTACACCTGATGCTACATTTGTTCTGTTTTGTGCCGTGGACATTGGGCTATCTGCTACTGCTTTTCTTACAATGCATTAATGTTGGCGATCGTTTATACTACTTGGCCACCCAGAACCCGATCTATATAAGAATGTTCATTTGACCGCTGCTGTCAACATCGAAGTACCACCGATGCAAAAACCCACAGGTAGTCTCCTCCCAAGTAGCTATAATTGAACAAAAGAAATGCGTGTACATATCCGTCGTATGAAACCTGTTTGCATTTGACTTTTTACCACATAATGGATCACTATCGAAAGCTCAGAAACAGACAGCTTTGATAGCTTGTAGAATAAGACTGAAGACTTTTAAAATTTTATCAGAATATATCTGTTATCTTTAGAATGTCTACTACACCTTAGAATACAGTACCCAGGTCAAAGAGTGTGTTGAATATAATTACATAGCCACACGCAAGGACGGTTCATACTACATCTTCCTCCACCGCACCCGACCAGTGGGAAAACCTGATCGAGTGCTGCGAGCAGTGCTTTTTGAACTCGCTATCTTATCGGCATTTTTTTTCTGCCTACATTTATATACGTTACAAGTTAAACTAAGCACAGCTGACTATTAAACGTTCTAGGTTTTTTTCGTCCAAATCTGTGAATTTGTTTTGCTCATGCTAAGTCTCATAAAAACACTATATAAAATTCCCTATTTTTTATTCATAATGTTGTATGTATTAAAATTATTCAACTTTTTAACAAGAAAAGTCTCAAGTTGATGTTAAAATTTGCCACAAAACATTGTAGATTTATCTAAGATGAAATAATTTATTATGACATGTCTCTGATTTGTATTTAGATACATTGTATTTATTTTCGATTTTTCTAGTTGAATTATTCACTTATATTGAATATGGCTCATTATTGTACATAATTAGCTTACAGTAAAAGTTGTATTTTATATGAATACTACCTCATGGAAATTGAGATGCAGTAGAGTGGGGGGCCTATCGTAGATTCGAGAGGGGGTGTATCATAGATTTGGGGTACCGGCCCTGGTCACACATGTCATGCAAAGGAAGCAAAATGGTTTAACAAAAAAAATAAAAAAAACAGATCAACAATTGGCCAAATCCTGACAGGTGCATTAGTGAAGGTGTCAGGGCATAGAAACTACAAGTAGTTTTACTGTTTGTAGATTTCTCCAAAGCTTTTGACACAGGCCAAATGAGAAAGATTCTTTCTGTTTATGGATTTTCTGATGACAGTTGCTGCCATAATGATGCTATATAATAAGACCAAATAATATGGTCAGATATCCTAATAGAGATACTGATTTCTTTGATATTCAGGCTGGTATCATACAGGTTGATAAACTTGTACCATTCATTTTCGTTATCATCTTAGACTACGTATTTGAAATATCTCTTGACACACTCATTGAATTAAGATTGACTCTTTCGGAACTGTGATAGAGTAGATACCTAGGTAAAAGATTACTCACACAGACTATGCAGATGATCTGAACCTGATTGCTAACACCATTGCCAATGCAACAAAGTTACTAAACAGGATATTGGTCGTCATGTAAATACAAAAAAGGCAGAATCTATCCGCTTTAAACAATGGGGCTCTATAAACTATTTAAATGGAGACACCCTTAAAGCAGTTGATAGTTTCATATAACAAAATAGTTATCCACAGAAAAAGATGTAAAATACACATAACTAATGCATGAACTACTTAGCGGCTTACTGCTCTGGACACCAAGGCACGGGTGACATTTAGGTCAATCAACAACATATGTTGAGCAACTATGCTCAGATAATGTCTGGTGTCCTCAGAAATTTGATGGCATGCACAAATCATGGCTATTCGAGCAAGCTCGACTAGATCAAGGTTTTTCAGACTGTGTGTCCCGACCCTTCAGTGGATCGCAAGATAAATAAAATGGGTCGCGACAAAAAAGAAAGAAAAAAAATACGCAACTGAAAGCAAAGTGCAGAATATAAACTAATTTAAATGTTGCATCGCTGGTTTTTCACCGAGGTAAGCTCGTATTATATATATATATATATATATATATATATATATATATATATAGCCTATGAGAAAATGAACCTTAAAAGAATATGAAGAAACAGAACCTATTAAAGAATTTATAGTTATAATTAAAATCAAGAATATATTTTTTTAACTTTAAACATATAACTAGATTTGAGTTGTTATGTATATATAATTGGGTGAGCTAAATAAATTTCTTTGGTGGGGTTTTCCAGAATCTAACCAATAAAAACAGGATTTTTTTTTATTGCATTTTTAATATTTTTAGACAAAACTAAATAACGTGTAATTCACTAAAGAGCTGTTGTTAGTATGTACGTATGTGTATAAATATATGTAGGCAGATAGATCTACATAAACTTAATTATAAAGATTTAGCACTCTGTAACTGTCAGATTACTTCACCTTGTTTATCGATGGACTTCTCTTAACGCCGCTAGGCGTCGTGACAGTCAACGGTATTAAAGAAAATGACTCACTCATTTTGCTCCCTGGTGTCGTAGCCACGACTCGTAACTCTTCCTCTATGGGGAGACGTCTTAATCCCTGACCAAATCAAGTTCTTAATTTCACCAACCCACGTGGTACTCTCTCTATATTTTGAGCTAAATAAATGTATTTTTTGTTTTGTTTTTGAAACCCCTTGCTGCAAACTGGTGACCACAGACGTGATTTGAAAGTTCTCGTATGCACCATGTATTAACCACATCACTTACAATCCTTAAAACTGACCGCTACAAACTAGTGACCAATAGAATTTTAAAGTCCTCATTCACAACAAACCGTAACTCCTCCCGTTACAAAAACAACCACAATAATTCACTTATAAATATTGCCAAGAATAAAGTTCACTGGAAATTGTTACCAATATCTTGTAATTTTCTTGGTTCTTTTATTTTCTTTCCTTTCTTTCTTTTCGGTGTCTTACTACTAATTTAGTAAAGTTCTATCTTCTTTTCCTTATCATCTTTCTTTCTTATGCACGTACTTTTCTCCACTTTTCTTCTTTATTTCACAATTTTTTACATTTATTTTCTCTTTTTCTGTCGTTTTTTCTTTTATTCTTCCGTTTTTCAGTTTACTTGTTCCTTTCTTGAATGATATTCTTTTTTACTCTCATTCTTCTAAACGTTCTTCTTCTGTTTCTTCGTCGTATTCTCTTTGTCGCTATTATTTATTTCTTTATTTCTTCACATTCTGTCTATTTTCTCTCTGCCATATACTTTGCCTTTCATTTACAGCCATCAGCAGTCCGCCATCTTATATGCAAGTGTACCGCCTTACAAATGTGTGTACTATTGACTTCTGTACAGAACAACCGCACGCTGAAAAACTAGCATCGTGTCATTACATGATTTTTTACGACATTCTCTGGTATTACGTTCTTTATTATGTGTCACACAGTCCAACAGACTTGGTGACAGGTGCACTAGAAATTTGAATTATTCGACCCATTTGACCCTTAGACTCGTTACCAATCGTGGCATGACACATATAATTAGACAAGTAACAATCCGTCTGCTTCGCATGATAAAAAAAATATTCAGGGATAGAATAATAATTATCTCCGCCTTCTATCTCATTAATCATTTTATTTTCATATCTTTTAGTTTGTTTATTTCTATTTTCAACCGTAACATTAACATCTCATCTGTGTTTACTGGAAGAGGTGAACAAAATTTGTAACATTTGAACCTCTTCTATAGAGTGAATTCACATTTACTTAGTAACTTTTTTAAATAAAATTCACATTTACTTAGTAATTTTATAAATAAAATGAAAGCCACAGTGTAGTGGGTCGGTGCTAAAAAGGGACGATTTCAAAATACTTGGTAATGTTTAAGGAATTACTGTGACCACAAATGAAGTTTAAAATATTACACGCTAAAAAGCAGGGGCACATTTTTTATATTTGAAGTAGAACATAGATTGTATTATAAGTAATCTCAAATTTGTAGCATAGGATTACACCACCTTGTCTGCTAGGGGACTTCTACTAATGTTCGCTAGGTGGCGTTGTATAAAGAAGTATAAATGAGAAGGGCAAACAAACAGGCACACACACAAAAAACAAAAATGATAATATCTCCTCTAAAATCTATCACAGGAATACACATCTCCCTCTAACACAAGAAGATATTTCGTTGAAATCCAAAAGGTGTATCTGTATTTGTTAATTACATAAGCCTATAAATATGAAAACGATTTTCAAAATCGTTAAGAATTTTCAATAATTTGACATAATTTAATCTCTTATCTATCAGGGCCTCAGTCTCTTTCCCATTGCCGTAACGTAGTTTCCCGATACCTTTTCTATAAATACTTTATAGTAATTGTTCTGATGAACTTTCCGCTATGGTACCTAGACTTTATGATTTTAAGCGCAGTACTATGGCTATATGTAACCGTATGTTTTATGCTAACACTTTCTTCTATCGCGCTTCTTGCTTGTGAAATTCTCTTCTAACTTCTTGCTTCCCAGTTAATTTTGATCTTCAAAAATTTAAATGCAATATCAATCGTTATCATCTGTATTCTTAATTCTTGTTCTTTTATTGTCCTTCCTCCTTAATAATAGTTTTTCTCATATTCTTTAACACTCAGTAACCACTTATGTTCTGGTAGCTTTATTGCCTTGTTTGAGGTGAAATGATTTTTTTAAAAAGTCCACAAAAATTCTTTGAATCGATATTTGGAAAAATAAATAAAAGCAGACATAATACAAAAGACACAATGTGTACATATAGTCACAACATTATCAACTAAACAACAGCTGATAATGACTTATAAAAACCGAAAGTACTCAGACATTGGGCACTTTATATTCAAATTTTCACTGAAAATCAGGAAAATGAATCGAAATAAAGGAAAAATAATAAATAAAGTCCTTAACAAAGAAATTTCACTGGTCTTTAACCAAACTTGTATGAATAAAAAGTTACTAATCAAATAAAGTCAATATATAATTAAAGAAAAATCAAAACCGTTGCTGGAAACAACGGAAAAAGTGCTAAAAGACGTAAATACCCTTAAACGTGATGAATCTGAAACAAGGATAGCAATGAAAAAAAAAGACCTAAAGACAGACACTTACCTACTCCGTAAAGTAAAGTGCTCAACTCCTAGATTATGTAGACAGAGCAAAAATGCTTGGCAACGTATTAATAATAATCGCTCCCTCTAGTCTGCTGGTAGAATACTGTAGTTTGTAGTAAAACTTAAGGATAAACCATATGAAACTGGAAGTGGAATTCGGGTACTCTCTTAAGAATAGTATATTATACTAAATCGGTATAAATTTAAAATAAGGTTAGTTGAGAAAATTGAAGACGTAATTAAAAAGTTGATGTGGAAGGTTTTTTTTTCTCAAACAAAAAAGATACTAATGAAATAACTTCGGCTTTAAAATAAAATAATGTCCACCACCACAAAAAGAACCGGAGAAATTCAAGTAAGAGCTGTTTATTATAGTAAAGAGGTTAGAGTTTAGAGAGGTTAGCAGTAAATTACAAAAGCGGTTAAAAGAAGATGTAAAAAAGATTTAAAAAAAATCAAATAATATGTGCATTAAGGAGGATAACTCCCAGAAACTTTATAAACTAGGGAAGAGATTTACAAAACTTTGCTAAATGAAGCTATAACTGATAAAGCACCCTCGGATTTAGAGAAAAATATAAACAATGACACAGCAAAAATCGTAGCAAAATTAAAAATTGATAATAGAATAGGGAAAGTGGAGAAAAAGTGGAGAAAAAGCAAGCTATGATAACAATGGAAGATCATAAAAAAAACGTATTTCAGAAGTAGACCCAAGTGTAGGCTAATTAACCCAACAACAACAAAAAAAAAAAACAAGTAGGAAAAATTAGTAAGGTAATATTAGAAAAGTTGTGTAAAGAACTCAGAAGGATATTAAGTGTTAACCAGAGATAAAGTACCAAAGCATCCGTTGATTGGTTCGATAATATAAAAAAAGAAGGCTATAGATTTCTGTAATTTGATATCAAGGAATTCTACCCCTCTATCTCTGAATATCTGTTAGATAAGGCTATAAATTTATCACAAGAGTTTGTAAATGTACATAAGAAGAGAAAGAAATCATAGTCCGCTGTCAGAAATACCTACTGTTCCATAAAAATGAGATATAGACAAAAAAGATAAGGACTTCGACGTTGGATTTGGTAGCTATGACGGTGCTGTTTTGTCTGAATTAGATTTCTTTTTTTATTGTGGAAGCTATCTTATAAATTCAATAAGGAAACTGTCGGCCTTTACAGAGATGACGGACACATGATAATAAAAAATAAAAAATGGTAGGGTAAACGATAAGCGCCGTAAAGATTTAGAATTGTTTTTTTCGCAATATGGGCTCAAAATAGAGGTAGAATCAAATCTTATATAAGTAAATTACCTGGATGTAAGTTTAAACATATCCACAGAAGAATACAAACCGTACAAAAAAAATGTAAATTTGCTACTATACATAAGCACTGAGTCTGATCATCCTACCATCGTCATTAAACATCTATATAAATCTAAGCCTGTAGATTATCTCCTTTCTTTTATGTGTCGTGTCCCTTCAGGGCGTAGGCAATCATGGCTCCCCACTTCCCTCAATCCCTTGTAGCTCTCAATAAGTTTTGTCCCTTGGCTACTTCTCTCGGACTCTATTCTGTCATCAACTTACTTAAGTCCGCTAGGTGTGTCACGCGTTGTTTTACCTTGTCTCTCTTTCCCTCTATTCGCCCTGTGAGTATCAGATTCTCCAAGCCCTCCTTTCTCATTACGTGTCCTAGAAATTTCTGCTACCTCCTCCTGATTATGTACAAACTCGAAAAATGAGGAAATCTTTCAGAAAGCTAAGATTCTGTACCAAGAAGCATAAGAAAAAAAGTGGAGAAAAAATTAACTAAAATATTGTAAACAACGACAAAACAATAATAAAAAGAATAGGAGTAGAAAAATAATATGGTTTAATCCACCATAAATTGTCTCTAATAATATTGTACAACAAATTTGTAATCAATCTAGCTGCCATAGCTCTTTTGCAATCTAATGTCCCTGAAAACAAGTGATCATTAACAATTTTCAATATGCGACTGGTGCGGTATTATACCAAGTAATAGATGGGATGCCCATTCCTACTGGTTTCTTTTCCAAAAAGTTTTCACAAACTCCGGACATGTATTCTACAGAGTGTTCCTAAAATCTGGGCACATAGGAAATCACATTAACTATATTTTTTTTAATTAGATTAAATATAGTTTTGTCGAAATAAGAAAGAACTGACTTCTTTTTCTGGGGTGTGCTAAAGGAGAAGGTGTACTCGATGAAAATCTCAGATGCAACACACTTGATTGAACGCATAAAGACTGAAAATTTAATTTTCCAAAAATATGCATTTTTGCCTGTGTCCAGACTTTACTGACACCCTGTACGTTAGAGAATTACTATCAGCCTATTTTGCAGTGTTTCACTTTTTTCATCTCACTGAAGGTCGTCATGTGTTTTTACTGACAGACCATAAACCCTGGTACTATATTTTTCACAGTTTAAACCGAGCAAACTTAGATCATTAGCAGTGGAACTGTCAGTACTTAGTGAGTACATATCACATTAATGGTACTTAGAATATAGCAGAGTATTGCATGTAGCAAACAAATTTTACAATGCAATGTCTATGATTTGTCAGAAATAATTGAGGCGTGATCTAATAATAAAGAAACCAAATCTATTTCTAACTTTAAAGTATTTTCAGTACCAACTAATAATTCTAACATAAGGTAAAGTGTAAGGTAATCGCTTCTTATCTTACAACTTTTATACAAATAGACTTTTATAGAACTATTTTATAGCCTTCATACAATCTCCCATCTTGAATCCTCCATAAATAGATCGGATACTATTTGCCAAATATATTGTTAGCAGTCAAAATTGATAAACATACAAGATCTTCCATTCAAAATTTTGAATTTCCTTCCTCATGTTTTGAAACTGTCCATATATAGATTCATATTTATGCTCTTATAAACATTCTTTAACATGTATAAACAGTTGAGTCAAACCATCCACTGAAATTGACACACATTCAAAAGCTTTTTCTAAATACTCAGATTACAAGATTTCGAGTTCTAAGCTATGTCATATAAAAAACGGAAGTCAATTTGAAAGCGAATTGTTGTTAGAATTGCTGAATTTTTTTTTTTTTTTTCATAAAATGAAAACAACTGATTACAATCTACAGGATAACGTTTTAACAGAGAGAACGCAAAGAACAATTAAACTAGCAATGATAATTCATAGAGAATCATGAATCAGTTATACTCGGTTTACGTAGTACAACGAATGAAAAAGGTATGTATTTATGTGCTTTTTGTGCTGAAATTGATTCCTTAATATTAATTCCCCAACTGTTGATCAGTCCATCTGGCAAAAAAAAAA